TAAGACAGTTACTAGCTCAATTCTCGAGCATTTGGTGAACTCAGGCCACGTAGCTCCACCGGAGTCGTCTTTCAAGATCATCTACAAAGTGAAGCCAAATGGTACAAAGGGCGTCAGGTTTCGGCTTTTGTGTATGGCGGAGGCGCTGGCAATTCATCAATACAACCCTGAACTCTGTATACAGAAAAAGTTTGTCCAGTCTCTTATTCTACCTTGGTCTTAACCTTCTCACTAATCGTTCCCTGTTGAAAAAAATTTTGATTTTTTTTTTCCTTGTCTTTTTTGTAATTTTTTAATCTTACTTTTAGTTTGCTTTTGCTTTAATAATTAATTCACTATTATCACTCTCATATGCTCCTTTTGTATATTTTCACACCCTCTTCACACTTGTTAAATTGATACTCAAATACCTTTATTCTCACTCAATAGCAATTTTAACCTTATCAAATTTCTATCTTTGTTCCGTTGAGTACCACGTAATTTACAACTTTTAATTTTCACTTCTAAAGCCACTTCTGAGTAATTATATCAATTATGTCGCCCCCTATTACTCAATAATAGACCACTATATATTTTTGTAAGTATAAATACGACTGTACAGCCTCTGAAGATGATTTCGTCGATAAAGAAAATTTTCTTCGCTGAATCTGTCTCTTTTATTTTCTTCACAAGTATGTTTACTTGCTTTCTTGATAATATCCTAATTTAATCTGTGCCTATCTTTTTTATATATTGTTTTATTTTTGTGTGGTGGTATTTTTAGTGTCAATATAGTGGCAGGTTTGTGTTTTAATAAGTGACGTAATAATGATGATGGTAATCGGTGAGATATTAGTCTAGAGTTTACTCTGTAAACCATGTGACACGACAAAAAATGATGTGAATCTGAAGTTGGACTGAAGTGCATATATCAACTGAACTAAAACTAACATTTTCGTATTCCTTAAATGTAAAACCTTCAGTGTTCATTTGTCCAAGTTTCGAGAAATCGCTTATAGCAATAGTCAACTAACTTCAATCATTCTTTCAAGTAAAAATCTTCACGGTAAAAAATGTTCTTATTGTAAATCCTTTTAATTTACTAGAGCTAGAGCTTTAGTCAACACATTTGTGAAAAACTCAAGTTGTTAAATTTTAACAAAACTAAGTTTCTAAAAATGAAACACTAGGATTTTAACTAGTGACGACCTATAAATATAAATAGATAGAAAACAGCTTCCCTTTTACTTTCCAATCCTAACTTTAAACAACCATTACAACTGTATCATATAAGCATGCTGAGGAAGTCAGAAAGTCAGTGAAAATCATATCTGGAAATTTTACAAATACACAAAACAAAACGACAACCGACAGCAGAAGTATTACACGGTAGTCACTTACCCAGGAGTGTACTGTTCTCTGTCTGTAGGCCAGGATGCACGGATATTAGTTGAGGTGACTATAGCACCATGGCGCCAATCTCCTTTCAGTGCACGTTTTAAATGGTGCACAATAGCTAAACGATCTGTGGTAATCCGCTTACGAAGAGTTTTATCGTGCAACAGAGTTCCTCGACACCACATAAAATTCACCCCATCAATGACAAGCAAACAAGGTGGGCCATCAGGCGTTGATGAAAGAGAACGCATCTAAAAAAGTAGTTAATATTATTTTAAGAACTGAAAAATTTTAGAAATAAAAGCTGACAAAATGAACTTTCTGCGAACAAATTATCAACAGCTACTGTTGCATCCAACAGAGGTGAATGGAAACAAAAGCTATGCAGCATCGAGTGACGTTTACCTTGTCATCCCTGACTATAATTGGCTAGGAATCTTAGCAGGCAGCTGACACTTTTAAGACCTCGGACATTCTCCTTATTCGGAATAACAAATTTGTTACAGAGTGTAGTCGTATAACTTTCAACTGTTTTTGGGTCCCGCTTAATAAATAGGTTGCCGCAATAAACGACCTAGTACGCCCGAGGGTGGGCAGACTTGAATCTTCCTCGCGAAATGCTTTCATGTAGCTACTCGTTCATAGACTCGGCCAGGTAAGTCCCATTCACTGCTTTCTCGAGGGCGATCCTCACATAAGTGGAAGGGTGAATGCGAACGTCTGGTGCCTGCGACAGGATTGGTAGGTATGCAGGTCTACCTAGACGACGTGGAAAACACTGATTCCAAACGAACGGCGTACATGGCCACCAGAAACTGATTATATTGAGTGGCATATGAACCTGGTTTGGTTGCTAGGGTCCATGAGGACGCAGCTCCTGAAGCTAGTCCACTGCCCTGTAGACCAGAATTCAAGTCAAGGGCTCAGAGGTGGTCTCTTAAAACAACCACCTGCATCGGTCTGGGCATCCAGCCAGTATCCTAACCCTCGCACAAACTTATGTGTGAAGTATCTCTTGATGACTGTAATGTAATAAGTTTGTGCTCTTAATTAAGAATAATAATATTAACTGTTAGTTTGAACTCTTCAAAGACAAATAAAGAGGCACATATAGCAAAGACCGTCAACTTGTTAAACCTACAGCAGCCTATCACCTACATTATATGCGGCACAACAATAGTAACCCAAAAAAGTATGACAAATGCAATTAATGATGACTAAAGGCGCTTGGAAGAGCATTAAAACAACTGAATAGGATACATTATTTTTAGTATGATAGTCTGTAGAAAAATTCATCGAGTTCGAGACATTTTATCGAGTCTCGGTGATCAAATGGCTACTATGAATAAACAAGAACATTTAATATTATTTTAGACCTATGATTTAAATCATGAAAAGGTATACTGACAGAATTCAATCGGCTTTTGACATTCACACATGTCGTTAACCAGTAGTCAAACGGAGTTATTTTCTTCAACTCAGGGTTTATCTGTACTGTACATTTAGCTCTATATAGGATTTTACCGTTGGAACCCGAAATGTCAGTGTATTACAACTGGAAACATGTTTCATAATCGAGTATAAATTCTCATCTTGAACTTCTTTTACGGGTTTGTGATGCATGGGTTCTTAGGTCAAAATCCAGTCCCACCTACAAATCTTTCAATAGCCACGTTATCAACTGATCAGTCGTCTAGTGCAGTTCTCAGTAATAACTTGTGATATTCATTTTCAGGAAGCTTGACAGTAAACGGACAACCGTTTGCATCCAAACTTATTTTCGACAGTGATTATGAGGTCGTAACACTTTTAGTAAATTAAATATATCCTAAAAGTCATTTTAATGACATTTGAAGGTGTTTCCATGATATGAATGACCTAGAGGTACCAACCGCGCATACGTCTTTACCGGTACATAAAACTTGATAATATATACAACTAAAGCAAAAATGAACAACAAGTTGTATCGTCAACAGAATTAAGTGCATTACCTCTCTTAATAAGATACCAATGCAATCTGTTGCATACTTGACCCTAGCAACACCGAAATTGATCAAGTCTATCCAAGAAGTTCCTTCACACATGATATCTTTTTTAGTCCATTCTACTTTTCGAGAAATGACTGGTTTTACCTAGAAAGAGAAAAAAAGTACACAAATAAAGTTTTGATTTTCGAAGATTTAACTATAATTCCAAAGAAGTAAACTAATATTTCGAAAACAAGAAGTAACCGTCCTACTAATTAACTAAGTGGTACCTGTAAAACTTGTGCATTTACGATTGGGGCCAAAATGAGCGATTAAATATGGTACATTTTTCAAAAAAACATCCGAATTCGGATAAATTTATAAGTTAAATGTAGTTCAGTTAGTTACCTATGTGGGTGGCAACGTGAAATAAACACCATAAGAAGAAATACAATGTAAAGAAACATGAAGCGTACTCTTCTTTTTTAACTGTTGAAGGTATGAAAACTATTGGTATCAGATGATAGAAAATGCTTGCTTATAAATATATAACCCTTTAAATTGCCTGTCTACGTATCACTTCCGATAAATGGAGTGAGTAACAAAGGAAAAGAATGCAAATAGATACTACTTTTCTTAGTTCTAGTTTATTCAGTCGAAGTTGCTGCACACCAGGACAGTAGTAAGAAAGTGTCTAAGATCAGTTAACGCATTAAATACAACACATGCATATAAAAAGTAAATAACCATTAGGTGATGAATATTGAACCGACTACGACTTCAAAATAGATAGGAAATGGGTGAATTAATGGCATTAATTTTGAGTCAAAACAGCTAAATTTTCTATTTAGTAACGTTGACTATTTTATGGGCTGTTTTTAAAAAGCCAAAAGTTCCAATGAACAAACAATAGCAACATTCACCGTGATACTTTTCATTCATATATATACATATACAGCGAACGCAGCTACTGACGGAAGTCTGTAGCAACCTGTTGGGAATGTTTTAGGTGACGGGAGCGTCAAGTCTGTAAATCATCCAGAAGCACAGAGTTGACATTATTTCAAAAATTCGGACTTTATCCTTTGTTCTGAATGCAGTGTATTTCTACAATAATTTTACAGTAATGAAGATGTCATGTTTTTTGGATCCTGGATTTGACACCCCCATCAGTGCTACCTATAGTTCAAACAGTGCTGTCCAGGTAAGTGAAGGAAACGACTTTCGATTTCTCTCTTTGGTGGTGAATATTGTTGGTGGTTGTCTTCATTACCTCTGTCTTTTGAATGTTCACCTGAAGTCCTACCTTTTCTGTCTCCTCCGGCAACTTGTTGGTTTTCGCCTGTAGATCTACAACTTTGTGCTACATCAGACAAATCATCCAGGGAGTACAGACCTAGAGCATTTGCCCGTCCAACCTTCACTTATCTCGTAAGTTAATGAAGTAGTGGTTTTAAGCATTTGGCAGATACTTCCACACTTAACACCACCCAGAGGAGAACTCTAATGCGCTGGTACACTATCGGTGGCGAATAACTACGATAAATGCAAAGCAATATCTAACTAAAGTAACAGATAATACCGAATCCAGCTAAGATCAAAATACTCACAAAATCAATACATAAAAAATCTAGAAAAGCAAGAAATAATAAGTACTTCTTCAAGTAAGGTTTGGTTGATCTTTAAGAAAGCTTTAAGCCATTCACCAGAACGTGCTGGAAAATCAAAAGCATCTCCTGAAAATTCTTGACAATGCTGATTATGGTGATATTCATTGCTGGCAGATAAATCGTGTGATGGCTCCAGGAAATTTTCACAATTAGTGAAAGGAAATATAAGCCATTTGCTGTTGCCAGTAAAGCAGGTAATTTGTGCCAAAGTTGTGGAGATACCTGTTCCAGGCTGACCATAGAGAACAAATCGTGGAACGGAACGCTTCGATAACAAAACGGATTCAGAAGATGCACTTTCATTGTTAAAACTCTCCTTTTGCAGATTTCGAATACTGATTAAATCTTTCATCATATCCAGTGCAGGTTTCCGCAGCATAAACGAGAGATCATTAAAAGCTTTCAGTTCTTCAGTTAATTCAACCTTCAAAAACGGTTCCATAAAGTGTGAATAATCCTTTGGAGAATACGTAATAAATTTGCCAAGAACTGAGGTTATTTCGAATGGTTCGTCAAAATGAAACATCTTGGTCCTTGGAGCTGGAATGTTTATATGACTTACGGAAGAGCAACCACGTATGCTAGTACAGGAGTAACCATAACATCGCGAAATATGGGCTACTTTTCTTAGAACTGCAACCATCTATGGAAAGACAAAGCAAAATATACCATAGGTTTCATACGTAAAATCTCAAAAGCAATGTTATAAATTAGTCCAGCATGAAGTCAGCTAAACTGTCATAGAGCTGAGTTGAACACATGAAACGTTTCATAGTAAAGTATTCAAGTAAATGAGCCACTTTCTTTCTTCATATTGTACAAGTAAACTTATGCTATGGGAAAGAAATGTCTTCAATTATACAACAGCCCTGACCAGAGTTATCTCAACAAACATGAGTTCAGTAAAAAATAAAGACACTTATTATATAACTATATGGAACTTATATATTGGATTTCTAATATCTACAAAAGTTAACACGACTATAACTAAGATGAAACTTGGGATAACAGTCGGATGTTTTAGGCTACTTACATGCACGCATATATATATATATATATATATATATATCACTGGAGGACAGTTCACAGACTTGCATTAGTTTGAATTAACAAAATTCAAGTTATCAACTTAGGCTAAAACGACATTAAAAAGCGTACTAAGTCAGCGAAACAGTCAAATTTAAACATAAGGAAACACTTTCCACCGTGGATTCTCTACTTAATTAGCACTAACAGTCCTTAGTCATTGACTTCGAGTATTTTGCGCAACTTAGACAAACAGATCATATCACGACATATGGCTCAGACTTCATGGAGTGGTGCTGAATATCACTCTGCATATCATTCAGTTGATTTGCAAATTTACAGATTAAATTCATATATCCAAAATGATATATATATATATGCATTGGTTTCGAACTCCAGCTCACGAGATCCTGGAAAGGTACAAATATAACCAAGTTGTGGTGTGTAATAAATGTTCACAGAAAATTACGTTAGAACATAAGCAAAGTATTGAACATAATATAAACTTATAAACTGTCTAACTCAAATACATACTGTCATGAAACGGACGTTATTTCGTCTGCCCGCCGGTAAAATCAGCACCTGACAGTGTTGGTTGTGATTGGTCTCTTTGACATTGGAGATGCAGCAATTTTAAACATCATGAAGCTGTTTGGTGAAGTTCCTATTTTCCACTATCATTTTATTCGGTTGGCGTATATTTGGCAGTACATACTAATTTAGCACAGAAAATAAATTTTTCAGTGTATTTATTTTCTAAATTCAGGGAATACGTTCGATACTGAAGTTTAAGGACTGTCAAGCATGCACCGAACGTTTCGAAGAGGTGATAACTTAATGCAGCTTCAATTATCGCTTAATCATTACTTTCAGACAACCTTAAGCTGACATGAAATACTCAGCAGTCAGACTAATCGCGATAGAGACAGCATGGTTAATGCAGCAAATAGGTGCCTATGTTAAGTCAATTGCTGTCACGAAAATCGGAAGGCAGGTACAAAAGAAGGTCATATTAGGTAACATAATACATGTGGGCTTCATATCTGTAATCGGAATAAACTAGGTCACCATTCACTTTTAGAACTAATCTTGATTTCGGGAATGTTAAATTAGCTAACCCATCAGTACTGAGAGTTTCCACTGGTGAAAGTAAGTAAACACTTCCTGCGTAAAATTCATCAGTATATTTTATTGATATGACCTCACTACTGTCAGTCGTCTGTCTAGGCTAATAATGAACTCGTGATAATAATACTTAATATCGTCATTATTATTGTGGTGGTGTGATATAGACAACGGTTTCCAACGGAATATTATTCTCACATATTCCCAAAGTTCGTTAGTGCATTAGCAGCAGAATACTCTATGTATTTGAACATTCCGTCTCACGTCGTTTAACGTAAACCAAAATCACACGCTCAATGATTAGGTGAAGAATAGAAAACTGCATAGAAATAAATGGCAGTTTGGTCACTTGAAAATATAACTTGACTTCTGAGTCTAACCCTTTGACGTAACACTATAGTCATGATGATCATGAACACTGTTGTTACTTACCATAAAGCCGTTATTGTTAGTGTTAACATTCCTATACAATCTTTGAAAATTACTGCATAACCTGTCATTAAATAATTTTATCATTTCACGATGCTTCCATGGTTCCACTTGGTACCGACTAATTGGGTACATTTGAAGTCCCTTAAGCCTGATGACAACTTCTGGCACCTGTATGTGTGTTGTGTGTAAAACGTTTACTTGTTAATGTTAATCAGGCTTTCATCTAAAAATTTATTTATTTATTCAGACCACTCATGTACTGCCCAAGTCAATGATGTCTTCCTTGAACCTTTACAGATTCTTACAAAGAAACATATATACTGTGTGTGCAAATGGAACATACTGACAACAATTAGGGATTAGTCATCGCTGATATCTTATTGAGTGCATCTGTTTTCCTTCTATTGTAATGCAAACGTGCTCCGGTAGCTTTAGTGACATGTACTGCGATGGAATCTAAGAGTAGACTGTCTGAAAATGTTGCGGCATCTTGGAAACTGTTGTTAAGAAGGTCAGATAGATAGTGACGTAATGTTTTCTGTAGACACTTTGCTTCGAATCATCGATATTACGGTAGCTACAATCCATCATATGTCTAACTGCATAGCCTTCCGGATGCAATATTTTCTTCATGGTACATTCTGACGTTTGTAAGTCAGATGTACATTGTCTTAGGAAGATTTCTGTTTAACTTTTCGGGTGACTGGATGGCTATTCGGTTGGGATGTTAGGCTTAGACAGTAGATAACTCTAAAAGCTTTGTAATCTAAATACTTTCTTTGAGATATGGACGCATTTACTTTCATAAGCGACAACATAATCTTTCGATCAAGAAACTTCTCCGAATGTCCGCTTTTACTTAGCAATTCAAACACTCACCTACCCATTAAGTTATTATTTTTAGGAGACTAGTGTTTGCTCTGATGAATACTTCTACCCTTTGACTTTTGTATTAGTTTTATTCTCTATATGTCATCCTGTCAACATGCTGACATTGATAAAAATTACAGCTAACGAATTTTTGCGACAGCCTTAGTGGACAGCATATCAGGGAAAATGAAACGCAAAGGTATTTGTTTCTTCGGTGTGTATGACCCAAAATATAAGAAACAACCATAATGTCCCAAGCTCTGTAACTGTCAAAATTCGTTAAAGTCAAGATTATGTCTCATCCAGTGGAATATTCAAGCAAACAATAAGAAATACGTTTATTGGTGATCTAATGCAAAGTATAAGCCCAAAGACACAGTGGAAATCACTTTCTTCAGCACCGAAATCCATGAATTCATTGAATTAGGTATCACCTGGAAAACAAAAGAAGAATTTAGAAGATATAGACATGATTACTGCTATTAATAAAAGTTAATCAGTCGAAGTGCCAAGAAATAATAAAACTGTGTTAATTAGTATTCAAACATGTAAGTCAAAATTTCTTACTCAAAAACAACGGGAGTTGCATGTGTCTGTAAACGTTAGGTCGTTGACGTTAAAAGTCATAATACCTCATGTGTATGGTTCTCAGATATTTGTGAAGATCTCATCGAAGAGACAACAGCAGAGGCAAAGAGCGAAGATAGTTCATAACAGCGAAAACAATTAACACAATGAAATTACCTACCTCGTAAAGTTGGTGTTTAACCCACTGAACCGCTCAAAGGCATCGTTAGTAGTAATTATAGCGTGCCTTTAAGTCACTTTATATTTTCCAGGGGAAACGGTGTATACTGAAAGTGTTTGTGAGAAATATCTAATTTACATCTACCAAATAACTCTATCTGTTGCTACTTCTGCTTACACTAGAGCATTTCATCGACTTTTAGAAAGCATATCAGCGTAAGAATATACATAGAGTGTAGAAATCAGCCGATTAAATGCTCCATGCCCATCTACAGGCTGCCTACCTCATCTTCCTGATGAATTCTAACTAAAATGGTGGAAACGCAGTGGATAAGTGGTTTCCAGACAGCCAGTTGGATGGTGTATAGAATGTCAGTCGATTATATTTGAGAAGTTGGCTTTAATACTTATTATGAATGCTGCTTATGATTGAGAGGACCTATATCATAAAAAATTGATTAAAAATTAACTCCATTCATTTGAGTGGATATCAAAAACTATCTGATAAATTTAATTTTAGATAGTAATATTGTGTCAAGTAATATTGTCAAGTAATTTTTTGGTGAGTAGGCAGTACAACGGTCAGAAGGAGAGACCAACAAGACAACATCGAGTAATCAGTCATGAAACCGCCTATTCAAAATGGATGATGTACAGTAGCTTGGCTACCGATTCCATGCAGATAATATTCAAAGGGAAGGTCAAAAGCTTGCAAACTATGAGGTATTGTGACATTGCAGAAGCACGCTTATACACTCGACGGTTAAGCAGCTAGAAACACCAGTTTTCTAACCACAAAACCATTTGAGAAGATGCGTTTGTTATCTTGCCGATTTGTAAGTTCTTCTCGAAGCATAAACCGACCTTTACCAAAGGGGTGATTATGTGAGCAGCCTGTCGACGACCGTAATTTCGTATACCCGCGAGTGAGATAAACAAATGATTTACTCGCTTGTGATTGGCCGGTTTGTCGTTTGAGTTGCGGTAATTTCAAGCATCATTTAGCTGCTTGATGAAGTTCGCTATTACCGGGATCGCCTCACCAAGTCGCGTGCATAACCGACAACACAGAGTATTATAACACAGGAAAGAAATGATATACCAGAGGATTTATGTGCTGAATTCAATGAATTCATCCCAAGATCTAAAGACTTCTCAGGATTGTCAAGAATGAATCCAATGTTCTTAAGAGGTGGTAACTTTATGCAACTTCAATTGTCGCGTGACTATTATTTTCAGAGATCCTTTAGTTAGTTAGCAGTCTGGTTAATCGTGATAAAAACGGCACAGCTGATACAGCATATAGGTATACTTATGTATATATAAGTATAACTACAAACGCTGTATTCTCGTCACGAAGATCGGAAAGCAGATATCAAACATCACAGTAAGCAGTGTAATAATAATATATATATATATTCCTATCAATGTAGGACACACCAGTTGTACAGGCATGGATAAGTATTATTTAAATTACATGAATTTGATTTATAGTGAAATTACATGGTTGCTCTCCTCTCTGACATCAGTTAGTGAGTACATTCTGATAGCTAGTCGTTCAATGGAGCACATAAAGAAATATAGAGATATTGTCTTCGCATTAAACAAAAGAAACCCAAGTATGTGTCGGATAAATTACAAATATTTGGGAAAAAATAAAGCTTGAAGTCAATTCCTCCATATAACTTTGTTGTGTGCGGCATCGTATCTTGTTTTATGTTCAAATTGGGTATTAATTTAAAATGAGTGATTAATTTTTATGATTTTGACATCATTTTTATTGCAAGTAATACCAGATGTGAATTCAACCGAATGCAGATTAATATTGGTCAATTTCAAGCAGATTTGTTTTACTGCACTCAAGTCACCCATAGCCCACTATTTGTCACAGCATGGTTGTTCCGTACGAGTAAGTTGATAAACACGTTGACAGTGCTTGTATAAGATGCTGTACAGCGTCTAGTTATGGTGACAGTGGATTTCATCAAGGATGCTGAGCCATTACTAGCCAAACCTTGAGGGATAATATATGAGTGACTTTAATTGTTTCTCAGCTTCACTCGGAATGTAGATCAATGCAACTTGCACTACAAAGTAAATACAACAGAAATGTACCAGAGGACAAAGAAAAAATATGTGGATTGGGAAATATTTGTTTATATTCGTTGTACATTGTAATTTGATGAACAAAAATTTGTTTCTACTATGTCTTTTTATGCATTTATGCTACTAGTTTATTTATAGTCTTTAGAGAAGTAAGGGTATTTAAGCGCGTTTAGGTACTGTAGTAGACTAATAGTTGATTCGTTCTAGGAATAAATAGTTTATTTATATAGTCGGTAGAGTGAAATAGTGCGTACAGAGAGCGTTTGAAACTTAAAACTGTATTGCAGTTC